TCTCTGTTTAGGAGGAAAATAATCTTCTTTGTTACAGTTTCCTGTACTTTACATTCTTACCAATGAATTACCGGATTTGGTCCTGAAACATTCTGCAGCAAGATTTGGAAAATTTGTACATACCTTATGAAATGAAACTAAGTTACACATGGTTTCTGAGGAAATAAAATAATAATTAAAAAAAATAACTAAAGCTTGTATAGAATCAAAAGAGGCAGCATGGGTTATGGAGAAAAAAATGCACCTCAGCATACTACAACAGTAGGCAATATCACCAACACATCATTTTCTCATACATATTTATAAAGGTCCATACATAGAAGCACCTGCCCACAAATGCACAACACACAAATCCACAGCTCTTTGGGAAATGGACTTTGTATAATCTGATAGAAAAACTTTACTGCAGCATGCTTGAAAATAGATTGAAAATTATTGCCCCACTTTGAACATTTTCTGAAATACACTGTAATATCAGTACAAAGCTGACTGCATCAATCAGGTATCTTCAGATGCTTCATTTGATTTTTCAGAGAGATGAGAAAGCAACAAAGTGACTAGACCAAGCAATTCCAGGTACTTATAGCACATTAATCAATTTGAAATGAACTCCTTTTGTCTGCTGCTGCAATGGTTTAGAAGATATTTCCTAAACAAATAGATAATACTTTCTTTTCTATTACAAGTGATCAAACTCTGAGACTTATATAAGAATTTTTTTTAAAACCCACAACACAATACTAGTGCTTTTCTTTTTTTTTTTTATTAAAGAGCATGCTTACAATTGTGAAATCATGGTTACAGAAGTTCAAATAAAGCTTATTTTTTAAATTCTATCTGACCTTGGATTTGACAAAATTGTATATGGGTCAAGATTATGAAAGGGCTTTCATTACATGAAGTTATCTAAGTATTGTTCAGACTGGTTTTCAGGATGAAATACTAGCTGAAGTTTGTATTTACTTCATGTGCAATCACTTTAACCTTGCTATTTGCACAGCAGATGTCTTCTTCACAAGACTACAGAAGCTATTGACTATAAATCTTGATAAGATAAGCTGTTCATTCCTTCCTTGTCAGAGCACTCTAAAAAGTAGCATAAAAGAAAACAATTACTGAAGCGAGGCAAATAGCAACCGTTGATCCTAGAGTTCTTATGGGGTCTTCTATACAGCAGCTTCTGACCAAGTCAAACCAGCAGAATCAGAATCCTTGTAGGAAAGTCATTATACAGAATTTAACTCATTTGTGACATTTAATTCATATGAACGCCAAGACTGCAGTTACAATTTTTCCAATTGCCACTATTCCTGAAATCTCAATAGTTAAAAGAAAATTAAATAAGCATAGTAATTCAGCTACTTCCTTTATCCTTGCATCTTAGCCATTCAGTCATCAGTGACACAATGTGTGGTTATAGCAGGAATGGAAAAGCTTATATTCCCAAGCCTAGTGGGGAAGAGAGTGGCCAAGGCTGCCAACTCCACAGTTTAAATTAACAAAAGCCTCCACTGAGTGCTTTCCACTATCTCTGGAAATAGTTTTGGAAAGCAGGTTCCATCCATTTTTCTCGTTTACTGATTAAAAAAGTTTGTTCCACTTACAAAAACAACATCAAATCAACATAAGAAATTCTGAGGACCCCAGCTTCCTATTAAGAGCAGAAAGGTAAGAAAAATACACAGCTGGTGATATCTTGGCCCTGAGTGTCTTTACCAATAATGGTTAAAAAAAAAAAAAAACTGGATAAAGTGAACTGCCCTGTGGAGAAGGGAAGATTGTTCCTTCATTGGAGAGCTATTAACATGTTCTAGGAAAAGTTTCTAATTCAACTCAAAAACTTTGGCATTTTTGAATTGAAATTAGTGGCCTTCAGAGAACTCACTGTAAGGACAAAAGCATTATCTTTTTAATCTATCTACATAAGGTGAAACAAAAAACCACCACTCCTGTTATTTCAATTATCTTCTACAAATGAACTTTCTTGAAATACAAAGCTGATTCTGCTTTTAGTTACATGATGCTAATGAGCTAATTAACAGCCAGGTTATTTCCTGTTGACTTTCTGTGGGCTAACAACTCATTGATGCTAAGCAGCAAAAGATGCATTATGACTGAAGTCTTTTTTTTTAGATAGGATTCCATGCTTTGACATAAAATATTCTACAGCCTTTAGGCATCTGGGAATCTCAGAACAAACAGAAAAGTTATCTGCAACCCCACCTTCAAAAATGACTTAATGGATGAAATAAAAAATAATTGTCAAAGCACACAAGAATGCCGTAAGATAGTCCCATCTTTAAAGCACATGTGCAAAGGGACAGGCCTTGAGAAACAACAGTAGCATTACTATACATAAATTAGTCAGATAATCTGTGTATACTCAGCCTAATAAACTGGATTTACTCAATTCAAACAGGATTCTGCAGTGGTAACACCATAGTCACTATTTGCATGCTGCAGTGCAGCCTCCTTTGCCTGTATGCTGTTGTTAAATCTTTCTGAAAAGCAGAGATTCCCTACTGCACTTTCTGAATTAAATGAAACAGAAATTGCAAAGGTATACAACCCTTTAATACTTAATTAGCTTCCCAATCAAGGAGTGAAACCAAGCAAGATTATATGATTATATACTGATGATATGACTGATCCATTTGGATTGTTATTTGTCACATTATTCTTCTCCAAGTGACCACAGAGACTTAACACAAGTAATGAGGAGAGCTATCCTTTGGTTGCTTAGAATCAGTTTAACACATTTGCTGGTGATTTTCCTGGCTTCCTCGTCAGCCCTGCCAAATTTCTTTTCACAAACTAATACCCAGTTATTTTTGCCAAGTCTTCAAGCTTTTGACTCAGTTAGAAAAGTATGATCTATCTATTTTCAGACTGAGAATCCACAATTTTCCATATCCTCACATGAGTGGCAGACCCTGCTATTTGAGCACCATAACCCCAGTGTTCTTCCATAACTGCCATACACAGTAAAGCAATTGTTTTAGGTCATTTCAAAGTCACCTCTTGTGTGGAAGAAAAGAAAATAGTCATAAGATCAGATATGCAGCCTTGTGAGGATGGCAAGTTACATGGTGACAAGGTGGGTGAGCTGTAGAATTAAGTCTGTAACTGGGAAGCACTTCAATAGCCCTAGAAGCAGCAAACAATAAATGGGATGGTGCACAGGAAATTCATGATGCAGACCTGTTTGCAGGAGAACATGCAGAGAGTGATTACTGTCTTACAGCAAACATGACACAATATTATGTTTAAAGGAGGCAAATTTCAAACTTTGTTCAACATAATCCATCCTTTTTAGCAAAACATCCTTGCACCTTAGGAAACAATCTCATTGCTAGAAAGCCACAGATGATGTTTCTGTTTCTCAGTAAGTCAGGTGCATTTCCTATAGCCTTGTGGGACACTGCATCCTCCTACAGTTTTGTGATGTAACACAGGCCTGTTACCTCTTCACACATACAAAATTGTACGATGCAGATGCATCAGCCTTCCAGGCTCTACATTTGCTCAAATACAGTAACTACCAACTTTTAATTTTGGTTTGCATGAGACATTCTGATACATATAGCAGCTACATCCGCACATATATCTCAGCTCAGTTCCCACAAGAACTTTTTTGGGACCTTTAATCAGAGATTGAATTACTTGTCTTGCTTGTTGTGGGCACAATATACAGACTTTTTCCAGAAAAGCATTGTTAAATAAGATCTCTGTGCCTCAGAAAGAAATCCTGTCTTTCTGTTGGAGCTTTCTACAATGTCCAGTTCTATACTCCAACACACAAATCTAATGCTAAACCCAGAAAGCAGACTGAAAATGCTACTTCTAGGGAATGTCTGCCTCCATTGCAATCTCTTATTCTTGCATTCTTACAATTTGCAAATCACCTCGCATATCATAACCCACTTTTTACTCACAGGAGAGGAGGGAAAACTTAAACCCCACAATTCTACTTTAGGAGAATAACAGGACAAAATTCAGTTTAGAAACACAGAAGAAAAAAAAAGGGAAAAAAAAGAGAAGCAATTGAAAAGATAAGAGAGATCTAGAAGTCCTTGAACACCGAAATTTTTCCCTGCTATGCCTGGTTCATATCTCCAGCTGCCAGTCTGTCAAGTCTGAGAATAGCTGCTGTGACTGCAATCTGATAAGAAAATAGGATGCTCTGAGCAGCCATGTTTAATTAAACAGTGGGAAGTTCACATTAGCAATAAACAGGGGAAGTATCAGAAGCCTTGGCAAAAGCCAAGCACAGTGTCACTTCTCTGCTCTGTACTTGAGTGGTTCTTTTTACTGCTTGTCTTTACAAGAGAGCAGAGACAGTCAGGAGTTCTACATAAGGATTCTTAGGTATGCTAATGAAATCCCATGTGATTCCACCTGTCCAGAATAAGAATGCCTAATTCTGCTTCAGATGTTCTGCTTCTAAAGCTTTGATTCACAATTTCACAGAAACATGGATGCAGACATGGAGAGCTTGATGGACTGAAAAAATGCCTCTCTGTCAACTTCTGCTTTGGTGGCAGTAAATCTAGAAAGAAGCACCCAAATAGTCCACTATCTGTTCTGCAGTCATTAAAGAGATGGAATTAAAATAATTTCAGATTAGCTACAATAACAGGACTGAAATTATTCCTGAAGATCATATGGTATCAGAGGTTAAAAGCCCAAACCTGAGTAGAACAACTGAGTAGAATGTTTTTTTACCTGTCAGCATGGAAATATGCAGAAACAAGAAGCCACATGCTGGTTTTCTTTTTCACAGTACATGCCACTAAAACAGACACTATTTTTGATTAGAGGGGAATGTGAAAATCAGTTAATTTCAATTAGCTAAGAGAAGGCCAACCATGGAAATACCACAGAAGTTAGAATATGATAATAAGAATCATAAGAAAGAAAGTTTAAGAAGGAGTTAAACTTGAATGAACTAGAAAAATCATCAATGGTAAGAATGTACTGAAAATAAACAAACCAAAAGAAAAGAAAAAAGTGTGGCATTTATTTCTTTCAGGGAGTTAACATCTGTATGATCAAAAAGGGTTGAATAATCAGTAAGATTAGATTTTATTACAATCCAAAATGAAAGAGGTTATCCATGCTTGGAGATCTAGAATCACTTTTTGATGAAAGAGAATAAGTTGTTTGCCCAATTAAGTCACACAATCCAGCACTAAGCTTATGAAATAAGCAATCTCATATAGTAAACAATGTAAAATGCAAAATGCCACAAGACAGATTGACAGAATTAAAACTTCATGGCATTGGTCTAATGAAGAAGGTGCACAAGACCAAAATTTCAGAAACTTGGAAGAAAAGCAAGCTCTTCAAGTCCAGGATAATGCCAAAAAACTCCAACAGTCCAGGATAATGCCAAAAACCCCAACAACTCTGCAGGTCCTGCACTGTCCTATGGAAGTTGTTCAGAGAAAAGGCTCAGACCAGATGGATCAGCACCAGTACTCTCAGTAACCTGCAAAAAGACAAACATGCTCACCATTTTTGTATCCATCCATAACATTTTTAAAAATATGTACTCTGCTAGAAACCAAGGAAGTTTACAGAAGCAGAAGCAAAGATGAAGCCTAAAGAAAAAGTGGTCAATGCCAAATGTTTATTTACACTGCATGTGGATAACAGCCAGGTTCTGATGAGTACATCTTGAAAAAAAATTGAGGAGTACACATCAAGTACTGTCTCCCTCAGTGCACATGCTGACTGTTTCCTGGGACTGCTGCTGTTTGGCTCAGGCTTGAAACAATTATGTTTCATTACAAAAACAAGGCCTTTTCAATGGGATGAGAAATAAAATGGTAAAGATGTTTTCCAATATCAAAATCACTACAAAGACACAACAAAGCAACCCTAGAGAGGAGCAGAACTGAACCAGTACAAATCATCACAAGGCATACTCTCACAATGTATCTGCCTCAGGAAACAAGAAAGATTTCATATATGTATTTTTAATTAATTCAAAGAAAATTTCCACTGCTTTAAGATAAAGCACCATTCCATTTCACAGCAATTAATTATTTCTTCATGCACTGTTATCAGGATGTGCTACCTTGTATTTCAAACTTTGAAAGTTAAGCCAAAAGTACAAGAGCTGAGGTTAAAATGCACACTGCAAGGAAACTTTACTTAGCATGTAGGGAAGTTACACAATTGTGATATTCAGTGGCCTGGGAAAGGAAGATAGGAATAGCAATCTGCAATTTTAAGTGACCAAGCTAATTGGGAAGAGGAAGTCTGGAAAAGTGCACTACAAGGTCTATGTTCCATTATTCAAGTGAATAATAAAAACAACAGTCTTGGAATACAATGCAACTCTTCCAGACTTTCAGAGCAGTTTCTTAATATTAAAGGAGTATTTAGACATGAAACAAGGAGAGAATTAATTTACTAGGAAATTAAAGGTAGCAGATTAACCAAAACTGAAAAATTAATGACAAAAGTAAAAGACAGGGGAGTAAGCAAGTCCAATGCACCTGTTACATTTTCAAGAACAGGCAACTTTCTTTTTAAAAATCTAATACTTAAAATTTGGATTTAAGTTATTTTAGTTATCCCTTTTTCTTGTTTTTCATTTTTAAATGTTTTTTCTGTTCTGCAGGACTTCAGCTGCTGGTTGCACAATTCTGGGCTCTATTCAGAAACTGAAAAACAACACCAATCACCCTGAAAGTGATTCATTGTTCTATGATTTTGCTTTCTTAAGCACCTCAGTTCCCATTAAAGCCAGCTGCATAAGGGATCACAGCAGTGGGCAGCAAGAAATTTGCAGGTCTCCTCAAGAGCTTCCTCTTTTTTGCTTTTTCTATTTTGTCTTTTCAAGGTGTTCAAAGGAAGAAAGCATCAGAGATGTCTGGATTAAATCTTTTCCTGAACATTTTTCTTTTGAATTTTTCCCTATTTTCATAGCTGGGAAACACAGGTGTTTTCATCTTGATTGGCATAAGAATTCCAGTTGCTTACAAAGTATATTGACATTAACAAATCATTCAATTATTCATTATTATTATCAAAAGTACAGCATCAGTGCTAATTAAGGTATTTGGATGAAACAATCTACAACTGGTATTTCTCTCATGTTAAGACACGAGAGGCATCTCACTATGCATCACTATGCATCTCACTATGGACCAGACTCAGTACATAATTCACTGTGTATTTTGTGCATTTTAACTCTTTGACAAAGAATCAGAGATTTCATCCTCATTGTACTATTTATGCAATCTAGCTTCTCTATTTTCCCCAAAAAAAACCCAGTAAGGCACTAAAACCAAGATTTCAAAAGCAGTTGAGACATTTGGACACCTAAGGCTTGCTTCCATTGAAGTAAACAGTACAAATCATCAGAAGAAACTGGAAAGAAAATCAAAGTTTGTACCTTGTCACATGTGCAGTTCCCTTGGTAGAGAGCTTCCTATGTAAAAGAAGAATTCAATCTTAAATTCTTAAGAGGCATAATTGTTACTAAAGAGTAAGAATCACTAAAGAAAAATGCCAGTTTTAGAAGATAGCCACTAGATGGAGCAATTTAATATTAAGATTCCATTTATAAAGATTCTTTTACCTTTCCCATTACCAATTGATTTTTTCCTTTTTATGCTAAGGATACTTAGAAATACTGTGTCCTTGCATATTATGCAAGCAAAAGGAAAATTGCACATGAATAAACACTAATGTTTCTGTGTTTTGCCTGTATTGAAGCAAAGACTGGAACCAGTGGAAGGTAAAGTGCAATTCTAAACTACTTCTGTTAAACTGTTAATTAATCCACCAATCTACATTTCCTAATCTTGAGAAACATTAGGCATTAAGAAATATTGAGCAGTTTATCAGAATACTATGCTCTCTATTCACCAGACACCAGAACTTTTTGCGAGCAGAGATTATTCTATCCTATCCTGAACTTTAGCCTAACTACTATACAGTTAGAATTCTTCTATATTTCAGTATCAAACTCAGAATTAAAATATTTTGTACTGACACAAAAGGAAAAGAGACTTGACCTCATTAGCTTGAGTCCCAATTTACATCAGTTGTATCTAAGATGGCTGTAGAACTACAGTGCCTTCTGTCAGTGTAAGACCAAAAATTGAACCTATGTCTATTTATATTTCTAATGTTCTTTTCAAGCAACAATTTACAGTTGTTACTATCCAAAGTACCTCCTGATAACATCTATCTGTCCCTTGTGAAGGCAATATGTATGTTTAAAAACAGAATAATGGTGTTGTTGCTGAATGCAGCTCTGAGGCGCCAAGAAAGTAAATCCTCAATGATTATTTGGGTCTTACAACCCTTCTTTAATACTGGATTTGCTGGGAAAAGGGGAAGGAATAAACACAGTTAAGGACAGTCTGTGAACAGCAATCTCCAACTGGCCTCTGCTTTCTTCTTTTAAAAGACTTCTGTTATACCATACTTACAAAATATTCATATTTCTGATTAATAAGTATGATAATCTAAGCATCATGAACGGTCTACAGCATCTAAAGTCTGCAAACATCATAATACAGCATATCTTTTAATATCCTTCCTATGAATGAACTTTTCTAATGTTGAATCAACCTCTACCTGCATAGCAGGTGCAATTAGCAGGTCCATGGTGAAAGTCCATGTTTTTATTGTCTAGATGTGATGCTTTCTTCCAAGAACTGTTACTATGATCTATCATGATTAATGATCCACAAAATCCAAACACCAGGCTGTTTATACAACTATTAGGGCAATTGTGCATTTCTCTCTTAGAGCAGTCAGCCATGGTTCTAAGGTTTCTGAAGATGTATCATTGATACATCCCATCATTTCCATCATTATCATGACCACATTTAGCACAGGTTCAATTAATCTAATCTCCTATCTCGTTTATCTCAATCAAATAGTCATTAAGGACAGTGCTGTTCAATGGCTTACTAGATGGACCTCAGAATGAAGAGAAAGCATATAGGACAGGAGGAGGGTAAACTTTATTATTTTGTTTTGAGATTACTACACTTCATTTTTATGCCTTGCTCCATGACTGCACTGCTTCCAGGGGGGAAGAGGGGTGTATGCAGGCAAGAGAAGAAAGCAAAGAGCAAGCCAAGAATGAGCATGCTGCATTAGCTGGAGACACTTCTGGCATTTGTGTAAAAGCTGCCTTCATTAAAGCTGACATGTTAACACTGCAGCACACAAAAACAGAAATTAACATAAACAACATCCACATAATCACATTTCAAATATCAAACCAGTATACTTCAGACCTCTTTAAGTCCACCTCAGCGATTGCCTCTGGCTGACTGCTCCTTGACAGGGTAGTGACAGAAAACAGATCAAGCCCCCAAAACATTTTCCCCCACATTTTCCAGTGGCTTCTATGCTCATTTTTCTTATAAAGAACAAACAAGTTCACTAACTGCAAACTACCTACTAGAAAAATCAACTTGAAAGTGGTTTAGATTTCATTATGTGATGATAATAAACAATTCAAAGCCGAGGCCAGACTGACAGTGTGGGATTTCAGTGAATCCATTTCAAGCAACTTAACCCAAACTGATTCAGCTTAGTCCTTGAGACCTCCAGTGTTTGCCTAGAACAGAAAAGCCATGACATAAAATCCTCACAAGAAAACACTTCACACTTTAGGAAAACACTGGCACCTATGTATCTAAGCATATTAAGTGAAGCACAAGAATTTCATTAATCTCTCAAATGCCAAATCACTTCACTTTCCAGTCAGAAGAGTCACTCCACAAGTAACTTTGTAACTAGGCTTCAGTACAGAAATCTAACCTAAAAAATCTCACCTAAGCCTTTCTACCTTGTGGTTTTTTTCAGAAAACATGAAAACGCCAGCAGATGCTCTCACACAAGAGAAAACACCTTTGAAGAACTTGAAATGTGTGGAAATTACAGCTAGTTAAAAAGGTGATAAGTGTAATTAACTTCCCTGCTCACTTGTGTTACAACCATCCCTCTCCAGGGATGGGGAAGAAAGAAGAAAGAAAAAGAAGGAAAAAAAGAAGAAAAAAAAGAAGGGAGAGGGAGAGAGAGGGAGAGAGAGAGAGAGAGACAGAGAGGGAGAGAGAGACAGAGAGGGAGGGATTAGTCTTACTTCCCCTTATGTTTAAATAACACTTAATTAAGGGGAATACACTGTAACAAGCCATCTCTGAACCACAGGGCTCATAAGCAGAACATTAATGAAAGCAATGTAAAGTTGCACTAAATTACATGACAGCAAGTTTGCTACAGCCTAAGAATAAAAAAAAATTGAAGGTGAGGGATATAAGACAAGGAAGAGTGAGGGGGAAGTTCTAACATATTTGGTATCAGAACTTTTTGGAATGTTTTTCTCTTTATATTGTTTGATGCAATTGTGATTTTCTCAGAAAGTTTTTAAGCTCTCTTCTCTCCTGGGGATGTCCATCCCAGCAGAGCAAGAATGCAATTAGAGCCAGCTACAAACCTGCCAGGTAACTCTTGTTCTAAGTGCTCATTAGATGAAGATAGATCTGCCCTTTTAATTCAGAGACATTGCCTACTAAGTACAAGTTAATAACTACTTAGGACTTCAGTCCCTGACAGAGTTACATATGCAGGCTACTGTCTCTGAGAAGAGATAAAGACATGGAGGAAAAAAACCAGCCATCAAGTTAATCATGACCAGAAATCATTACCATCTAAGCCTGAGTGTCTGATGAAGTCTGTTTCAGGACTATTCAACATAGTTGTTTATGTGTCCACAAACATATTAGAGCTAAGAAAACACTGGTGTATAGATGCTGTACCACCAGACACGTCATACAAAGGACTCACTTCCTGGTTTTGTCAGTCTTTGCTGCAGATTTCAAAACAGCAAGTTCAAATTGGTTGAGGACAACCAGAAGTTCACAAGTCACACACATCAACTTCCAGAACACGAGGTGAGACAAGTCTGTGGATAGCATGGTGCAGAAGAAAATGGACACAATCTTCTGACTTCTTTATACCCTGCTGTAAGCTGCTAGCAAATCTGCAGTCTCATATTTCTGGAAGCAACAGACTGATCATAGGCAGGTCAAACCCCACATCACAAACATGCAAGAGACATCCCTGCAGCAGCCTTTCAAGCACAGATCTCTTTTGTAAAGATTTCTCTGGGTAAGCCATGTCTGACTCATCCCTTGTAATACATTTCCCTTTCCTCCAAATGCAGACTGGGATTTCAGCTGAAGTTGTAAAACTTTTTTATTTGAAAAGCTTTTTGGAGGACTTGATTTTCCTAGAATCACAGGAAGTTGCACACCTTACTGCTGCACAAGAAAGTCCTTCAATTATCTCCTGAGCCTGAATTTTCTGATGTTTATTCATAACAACTTTAGGTCACAGCCAGCCACCTACATTCCTTCAGGAAATCAGCCTTCTTCATAACAGGATGACATATTTGTCATCTTGCCTTGTTTTTGTAACAAACTAAGATATTTTCCCCTAGTCACCATTTGAAGTAATGTGCTTGCAATGTACAGAAATAAAGCAATGAGACCGGGAATTACCCAGAGGTACAGCTACCTTGTTTGGACTGATTTCTTATCTACATTGTTGAAAATAAGGTCTTGATGTTACCAGTGATGCACCAGGCCCTATTCACTTCAGCAGAGTCAATGAAAGCACAAGAGTCCATCTGGGCAGTTCATTTGCAGAAACAACATCAAGTATAATAAGCTGGACCCTACAATCAAGATAAATTAGAACCACCGGGACTTAACATAGGTGTAGAGATCAATAATGTTGATCCACTTGTGGGCTCATAGCCTTAATGTAATGACATAATGCATTTTGTTATTACTTCAAATAATCCAAGCTGATCTCCTCTAGGGAAAAGAGGTCTGATCTCAACAGCTGGTTGTGCACAGGTAGGGCTCTCCTCTCCTCAAGGTACCAGTGACATTAGCTGGCATAAGGCAGACTTCTCCTCATAAGAGAAGGATAGAAAAGAAAAACAGAAGGCCATAATGAACAGGAATGAACCTCCTTCCCCTGGAGCACTCTTTTATCACTAAGTCTTCCCAGGGTCCAGAATTAATAAAACAGATAGTAAGATAAAGTTTGTTGCACTCCACACCTCATAACATATGCCTACACTTAGCCCTGGGTAACAGTATGTAAACATAGAAGACAAATTTTAAGCAGAAAGTGTGCAGCAATTGCTAGGAGGGTTATGATTACATCACAGTAATCCACACAGAAGTTGTAAGATTAGTTGTGTAATTAAAAGAGTAATAAAGGAATAGTTTACGTATACAAGAAATCTGCAAGCACCACAAGAGCTAAATAAATGTAGGTAATCACTTTAGTTTTCTGTTTGCGATGTGCCATAAACTCATCCCCTTCACTGGCACTGGTACCTCATCATGGTCTCATGCTCTCAGGAGCCTTTTCTTACACAGATTTCCCTTGGAGAAATCTGAGGGAAAGGCAGGTAATTAACTCCTGAGAAGTGCTATGAAAGAAGTGAGTTTTCAAAAAAACAAAATTATCCACACTTTTAAATTTTTTTTCAATTTTTTATTTTCTCCTTTATGGCATTTTCTTTAATAAACACCAGGAAATTGTTGATCTAAGATACATTATTATATACATTTATTTTTTGTCTCAAGTTTTAACCTGACCTAGACATATTTATTCCTAAATCTATTGGAAAATGTAATATTGGAAGCTTTATAAAACCAAGATTACTCCTATTCCCACAATTATTTGCAAAGCAGAACAAGAAGATGGACAGTATTATTCTTCACTAATGTGCTATTTTTTTCAACACTGTTGGGCTGAAGTAAACAAATAAAGAAGGCAAAGATGTATACATTCTCCATCTCATTTTTCTGTGCCTCATAGTTCCAGAATTTTGTTTTTAAAAGATCCAACTTAGAGGGTTAACTATGCAAGAGTAACATTGCTTTGTCTAGAAGTCAGGGACAATTAATGGTTACATTATTGAAAATCTGTTGTGGTGGTGGTAGTGGTTTGAAGTTGTTTTCATTTAACTAATGTTGGGGCTACATTTGTTTTATATAGTTAGTTGTCTTTATTCCTAAGTGAAAGAACTTAAATTCTATCCCAAAGTTGACTCAGAGTGTGAATTTTAGCATTCCTGCTTCATGAGACAAGGGATTCCTTTAACAGGTATCAATATTACTTGCAAAATCAAATAACCTTTACCCCACCCCATTAACAAGGTCACCAATTCTTAGAGCTTGTCCTGTGCTTAAAAAGGTGGTGAGCTGGCCTAGTATTGCTCTGCCCCACTCATCTATTAAGGGCATATGTAGCATCACATCCAATTTCTCCTTTCCAAGAGTTTAAATTTGCCCATATGTAGGCACATCTCTACATTGTTGTCCCTCTAGACCTACATCACTAATTTAAACAAGCAAGATTAACCAAAAGCCTAAAAAAGAAATTACATTTCTTTCCTGGTAGAGTTTTGCCAGTAGTAAGTATAAGTATATAATTAACACCTATCTGGTGCTCTTCACATGTCAATCCTCATTTCTATATGCATCACTTAGTGAAAGGAACTCTTTCTTAGGTGGTACATTGGACTAGTTAGAACTATCCTAAAAATACCCCTGATTTTGCTTACAGTATCCCAAACATTTACATAAAGTGTTCTGTACTGTGCTTAAGGGTTCACAAGGTGTGTTTTGTACCAGGAACACTGAAAGTCTCAGCTACTAATTTTTCCAGGTCTTTGTGACAAAACTTTAATAACACAACATGAAGAAACAATTAGGGGGTTTAGCCAATATATTGACATCCATTTCATTCAGTTTGCTTTTCTAGCTTGCTAATTGACTGCAGGGATGAGCTAACAGAATAATAGCTGAAGAGATTGCTCTCAGATATTTTAAGGAGGCTGAACTCAGGATTCCATATAATGCTAAATTCTCAGAGTTACGTGCTTAATGCCTTCTATTTCGGGACTCACTCGGAATGTTGCCTCTTGCTCAGCAATTCACTGTCACAGCACTTAAATGCAGAGCTACAGTTGTTCAGGGCTGCCTCGTACTTTCCAGACTCTAAAGGAAGAATTCTTAAGAATCAGAGCTTCAGCTACGCTAATATTGTTTTACCAAACCAGTTTCTCTTTAGATTCCTGTGCCACTACACTTCCATCAAAGAATCTAGGACTGTGTCCTCCCAAGCTGTGCAAGTAACATTTGGAATACAAAAAAGGATTACACGCCTTGTCTTGGCAGGAGCAATAACATGCTCTAGGCTACACTCAACAGGCAGGCTAGGCCAAGCATGAACCAAAGCCAGCTGCCTGTTTTAGAGAACCTCAAAGCTTCACTAACTTTGCTGACACCCACTCATATATCTATGAATTTTCTCTGGTGCACAATCTGTGTTTCCCTCTGACCACATCTTGTAAATGAGACATGCAAGCACATTGATTCTTTTTTCCTCTGCAATGGGACCAGGCAAGGCGAGCTGCAGTAATGGAGCACATACGTGCTGACAAGTATGTGAAGTCACCAAGTCACAGTAATCCAGTGATTTCTGATTACCTCTTTATATCCTTCAACATTTATTCTCAAAACCAGTTCAAATGAAGTTTAAACATTAGGAATCATTCTATCATGGTCAAAATGAGAAATTATTATACAAAAGCCTTTATCTCCCCATCCCACCCATCCCGTTTGTACGCACTGTGTGCCACAAGTCATGGCATGGCTGTGGACAGGGGTTCAGGGAAACAGCACTGATTCATCCCACTGGCACCGAAGCTGGGCTAGCACACATCTCACTGGACAAGAACCTTTCCAAAATAGTGACTTTTACACAATCAGCAAGTCAAATTTTCCTCTGAGCCTGTAATTGCCTGGCCACACAGGACAGAAATTAAGCCATTGGCTTCACATGGACTAAGTCTAGACATAAATTTGTGTATGTGAAAGATTATGAACTGTATCAAACAGCTACGTACATGCAAGTCAGTGAAACTGTCATTTCAGTAAATATATGCATTGTTACTGTAGAATTATTTCAATATTTCTTTTATGTGAAACTGTGTGCATGTGTTCATAAATTCTTTTCTATTGCATGGTAGTACCTCAGATTGCCAGGCTTGTTTGGTGCTCAACAGCGGAAGTATAAGCACACTTAAAATGCTTCAAATTTGCTAGGAATAGTAGCGATAATTTAATGTTGACTTCCGCCATTCCTAGTTCCTCAAGAAAACAAAACAAGCCAACACTCCAAATGCATTAACTTGCATTCCTAGAGCAAACAGACTACTATTGGTCTGTAGCCATACAGAGATGCAGTAGCATATACAGAGCCAATGCTGATGATGCTTGCATGAAATTGAATCTATTGAAAATGTCTCAGCTTATAAATTTGACATGAACTGCATAGAGGAAAAAAAATACAAGAAAGAAAAAAACCAAACCACCAAATAGCTATAATTGCTTCCACAGAGCATTTTGCATTAGTCCAATCAGCCGAATGTAGCATCAAATATTAGGGTGAAATGAGAAAGTGCGTGGGTATAGAGTCGACAACAGAAAGCACGTCTACACGACACGTCTAATGGATAGGTGAAGAAAACCAGCAACCCTCGGCACAGGCAGGAAGCTGAAAAGAAACGGCCTTGTCACATGGTGCCACGAGGAAAGAGAAACCATTTCCTCCAGACGCTCTAACCGATTTTGAAGCTCTGAGAAGCTTATTACTCTGCACATTAACTGAACAGTGCCAACCCCCCAAAAAACTCACCAAGCATCCCAAGTACAAATGTTTAGCCCTTTAAACTGTTAAAAACGGCATTTACAGCCCCCACTCACCACAACCTCCTGGGCCACTGCTCCAGGTCCCCAGGGCGGCAGGTGGCTGCTTGAGACAAGCGTGAACTCTCCTTCCTGAGCTACCTGCCTTCGCTACCCAACAAACTGAGGGTTTCACCTGTCTCCTGGGCCCGGGAGAGCCGAGCCCCTGTAGCCCCCAACACCAGGAATGTGCCACACGCCCCCCAAACCCCACCACCACTGAAGGAAAAGATATGATTCCCAGAGCTGGATTCCCTGACGGATGGGGAAGCGCAACCAGCGGAGCGTGCAAGGAGAGAGGGGCGAGGCGGCCGCGGGGCTGAGGGGAGTGAGGGGCTGAGGGGAGCGAGGGGCTGAGGGGCCTCGCGCCCGCCTTCCCGCGCTCGGCGCCTCGCGCCGCTCGGCCCGCGCGGGGCAGGTGGGGCGAGGGGCGCGCGCCGCTCTCCGCCTCCGAGGGAGCCCGCTCTTCCTCCCCGCTCAGTCACGTGCTCCGGGAGCCGCAAAGCGGCGACGCCTTTGCGACAGGGTGACAGCCAAATGGTGCGACATCGGCGGCGGCCGCAGGCGCAGCAGCCGCGGCGGCCCCAGCGCTGCCAGGGCCGAGCGCCGCGCCCGGGCGGGGAGCGCACGGCGGGCACCGCTCGGCAGGGAACGCACCGCGCCGCTCCGCGCCGCTCCGAGCGCGCCGCGCCGCACCGCGGGGAGCGCGCCGCTCCGCACCGCCCCGCGGGGAAAGCGCCGCACCGCGCCCCACAGCCCACCGCGACCCCCATGAGAGTAGAGGGGTCGGCGGCGGCCCCCCCGCGCACCCCCGCCCGCCTGCCCGAGCACGGAGCGCTCCCCCCGCCCCCGATGCGCCCTTAGTCCCGGCCCCGGACCCGCCTCCCTCGCTCCCCTCCCCGCCGGCGGCGGCGGCAGCAGTAGCGCCCAGGTGCGGACTTCAAACCCCGGCGAAATGGCGTCCAACGCGGCCGAGAGGGAGATCCTCTTCACCGAGCTGCAGGTAAGCGGCGAGGGGCGCCGCCCCAGCCCCGCTCCCCTCCCCTCCCCTCCCTTCCTGGCGGGGAGGACGGAGGAGCCGCCGCGCCCCGCCGCCCCCTGCCCGCCGCTCGGCGCGGGACGCCCACCCCAGCCCAGCCCGGGCCGGGGGGCCGGCGGAAGCCCGTGCCCACCCCGGGCCTCTTCCCGCTGCTCTCCCCCGGGAGCGGAGGCGCCGCCGCCCGGTCACGGCCCCACCCCGCCGCCGGCCGCGACCCGCTTTTGTCTGCGCTCGGCTCCCTCCTTCCCCCGCCGAGCGGCCGCGTCCCTCCGGCGGGGCCTGCCCGGGCCGCGCCCCCGGCCCCGCCGCGGCCCCGCCGGGATCTCCGTCCGCCCGCCCCGAGGCTGCCCGCGCCCGGAGCCCCTACGGGGGCCGGAGCTCTCGCCCTCCCCGCGCCCGGGGCACGGCGCTCGTCCGGGCCGGGCCCAGAGGGCTCCCGGTGGCCACCCCACGCCCGCGTCAGGGTCAGGCAAAGAGCCTCTCTCTCCTCTGGACACGGCACCGCGCAGGGACCGAGCAGCTTCCTTCTTGTAGGCCTTGAACGCTGAGCTTGGGAAGAGGAGAAAATGGTGCGATCGACTTGATTTGTCACACGGCAAGGGTTCTTGTCACTACGAAAAAACAATCCCAAAAGACCCCGCAACACTGTTAAAGGTTGAAAGCTCGAGGCTTAGAGGTTTCCATCGCTGTAATTTGACCGGGTTTGGTTCCCTGTGCAACTGTTACTTTTCTTCTTGCCAGCTGCAAGGTTAGATGCAATTCCGGAGCTTCACTTTGTGCCCTTATCTTTAAATGTCAGCACAACCTGCTACCTCTTCAGCTTCCTTGTTCTGAAGAAAGCTTGCTTTTCTTTTTTCTTTTTTTTAATTTTAATTATACATCACTTAATCCGTGCAAATTGTTATGTTTACCCAGGCAAGTAATGTGTCTCTGAATTTATTAGTTGGACAATGAACCAAAGTAAGAAGTCCATAAATGGAAAGTATTGAATTTAATGGTCAAATAAAAATTAGAAAGGCATGTCTTAGAAAAAAGTAATTTTATTTATGTAATGCTGTTAAGTTCTCCTGTAGTTCTGAATGTTGGAGGTGTGCTCACTTGAATAGCAAAGGAAGAGAAGGCACAACAGATGTAGGAGTCTACTTAATATTGTAGCACATGAGATGGCTGAAGGCTAAGAATCCATCTAAAATGCTGAACTTTAATCAGTGGCTCATAAGTGCCTAGGAAGAATCAGTATGTTAATACAAACTTGATACGATGATATATAAGCTTGTAAACCTGTTTGAAGTGGAGAGCTGTGTGAATAACTAACCATAGCAGTGTTTCAAGTAGCCTAAATGGAAGCAGCATTTCTGTAGAAGTACACAAAGCAGGATTCCAATTATTTTAAACAGAAATGAGTGGAGATTTTTCTTTGGGGGGCATTGGAAAGTTGGTTTTGTTTTTGTTTTGTTACTTTTTTTCTTGAAAGATGAGATTGACAGTGATACTAATTAAAAAAACCCCAAAACTAAAATACCCCCAAAAATCAGCCAAACAAAAAACCCACCAACCAACCAAAAAACCTAGGATGGATTAGATTCTTGGGTTGCACTATCTGTTCCATTTTATATGAAACTTCTCTATTAATAAATACAGCTTCTTGCACAAGACAGAAAGGTTAAGTTAACATGGGAATGCCAGTAGTGTTTAAGGTTTGTGAACTGCTAACTTTAAGGTATTTTTGAGAAGAACTTTCATATCAGAAAGAACTGCTGTAAAGATAGTGTTGTTTGCCATGCTGTATATTAGCAGTGAAATACAAAGGCATCAATGTCGTTCTGCTTGGGAATACCTCAAAACAAATTGCTTTTCATATACCTGTACATAAACAAACTGCTTTTCAAATACCTGTACATCAAAGTTGCTTTAGTGGTATGATCTGAAAGTAAAGGGAACTACAGTGGGGTGTGAGATACGCCATTTCACTCTTGTTTCTTCAGGAGGGAACTTCCTCAATCATAAGAACTCTAACTTTAAAAGTGCTTATATGTGAAACAGACTTTTGCTTGCATATTGCAATCCTGCACAGAAAGAAGAGGAAGTTGAAGAATTCATGGCTACAGTAAAAGTTTAAAGGGTCAAGTCCATAGGTTGATCTAGATCATGGGTGATGTGTGGTCTAAGTGTTTTGTTAATAGATGTGAAAACTTACTGAAAACAAGCTAAACCCAGTGTAAATGGCAAGCTTGTTCCTGCCACGGGCTCTAAAGCGTCAGTCAGGGATCAATATAACACGTTGCTTTGTGCTGTGCTCAGGGCTGTGTGCTCCTGGTTATGACAGCCCTGTGCACTCCAGCGTGCTGTAAGGAAACTGTTAGCTTGGGGTGAAGTTGATAGAGGCAGATCAGTAGTTATGAATCAATTGAATGCTCCTGGCAGAAAGATTAGCAGACTGGCACAATTACTGACTAACAGGATGTGAAGTGGATTCTGAGAAAATACGAAAAACGAAAGAGCAAAGTAACTAGTTGCTAATAAGCAAGTGGTGAAACATAGATGCAGTACGTGTCCTTGTTTCGAAGGCTTAATTAAACAGGCCTTAAATAGACCCTAGATCTCAATTCTCACAATGAAAGTTTTGTATTTTAAATAAGTTATGCCATATCAGATAGAGCAATTGCTTATAAATCTCTGCTAGCAAATATCCACTTCATATTTCTGTTCTGCTTTTTCTACAAAATATTGTATCCATTCTTGTATATTTTATTTTACTTCAAACATTTTCCAGACTGATAGTGGTATGTAGAAAGTATATCTTGCCACTTAGCAAGTTTTAAACTTAAGCCTGTTCAGGGTGAAAAATGCAACGCTTATTTCTCAGTAGTTAGCAAATGCAAAGTACAAGGTAAACTTGGCAATAAGCAAATCCTCTTTTTAGTTTGTTCTGGTAGCTTCACCAGCGAAATTGCCTGATTACTAAAGATTGAAAGATTACATAAAGCCAGATTACCCTTTTTTACCTCCTTTTATCTCTAGTACAGGTTCTTTAGTAGGAGGAGGAATGAGCTTGGGTAAGAACCAGTATTGCTGATGTTGCCTTCCCTTCCAAAATTCTGCTGTCCTTCTGTGGGCTTGCATCCCTTAGAACTTTGTACACCAGGTAAACTAGCCTCTCCAGTGCTGGCTCTCAGGTTAATTGCACAGTCTTTAACTCTTTGCTTCCTGGTGGAAGTGCCAACTCTGTTTCTTCAAAGAAATTAAGCTCTAACATATGGTGCTGTAGTTTGTTAAATAAGGCATCCACAAAATAAAATATTTTAAAGTTTTTTTATGGAAAAAGGTTTGGTTTGTTTTTTTCAAATCATTATTAAAAATTTAATTTTTTTGTGAAAAAAATATGTATGCTTTCTTGGCAGTGATGGTAGATGTCAGCATAGTAAATTGGTATGGCTGGGTTAACAGAAATTATTGCTTAGAGTATTTAAATGAAACCAGTGTGTATGCACAGTGATTACACTTGTGTACTTCTAGATGTTCACTACCACTTCTTTTCTAGACAGTACTGTGAATCTTCTAAACTTGGGGCATTTATGTTTAATGTTAATGGATTTATTTCATAAAAAAAATTCACTTCACTCAAAGTTGTGTTTTGCAAAGCAATACTTGTTTAATATCAGGGAAAAAGTACATTACCTGTGTTTATTTGCTTATATGAAATTGTTTGGTCAAGATAGAGAACTTAGGCTATGCCCTGAAATGAGTAAGCATGTAACAAACCCTCCATTACTTCAAATGGAAATATTAAAGTCTCTTCTTGGAATTAATTTTTCAAACTCAACCATCATACATATTTTTGATATTACTGAACATTGTGAAAAATGTCTTTATACTGGTCAGCATATAGGGACCTTTTTAATGGATATTTTGTGTTAATACCCTGGTCACCTAATTTCCTAAGGTGCTGTACTTAGAGATCATAAAGCATAAATTTCCTGACAGAATCATGTTCAAAGGCCATGGTATTTTTTTTTTTAAATAGTGATGAACAGCATCACAACTGAAATGTGTAAATTACGATTATATGATGGTACATCCGGTACAGTTTTTGGTTTGTTTTATTTTTCCATTTCATATCTAGGGCAAGAATATATGTTAAATTAATGTGACTGAACAATGCTTAGTATTTTATTGGTCTGCATGATACAAATTGGACAGTTGAGTCTGAGGTTGTACAACTATGTTTTGTATATAAATGTGTATAAAATTGGATGCTTGTACTTG